GTGAGACTTGACGATGACGAACTTCAACGTCGTGGATACCGATCGGATCAGCCACATCCGGAGACCCAGACGCGATTGAATGGGCCTCTTGACAATCCAGATTCCAACTCTGACTGACACTCTTGCTGGGAGAAAGTAAGCTCTGGCTATCGTTGCTCAAGGAGGGGCAAACCGTTGATTGATGCGTCGACAAATTGGGCCGGGAAATGCGTAGGAACATAGAGATGTGAAAATCTTTTTCTTGTAGCCTATTTCAGTAAAGAAAGTAACAAAGACAATTACATGGAGATGAGATGGATTATTTGCAATTTATTTTATAAATTTATGCTAAAATATCCTTTAGTTCGCTTTTCACGATAGGTGGAATGGATTTAGAAGTCGGCTTCATCGCCAACCAAATGAAGCTCGTCTTAAAGTTGTGCTCAATTCTATAAATATTCGGCTCACTGTTCTGCTATTCCGATTAATCCGCGCTGAAGCAAACAGTCACATTTACAAGTTTAACTCTCCCTCATTTCTGAATAGGTTAATTTATTTATTTTTCCGCTATATAACTTAAGACGATTATCTAATGATGCAAGACGAGTCTACTTTTATACAAATGGGAAGTATTAGGCCATCGGGAGGGTAAATAATGAATGTAATATACGCATAATCGGTTACTAATGCTATCGCATAACCTCATATATCATGCGGAAGAGGATAAATAAGTCTAGCATCTCATATTATGCACATATGTGTGAATTTATACACAAAAATACTAAAGGTTATATGAAAAGTAACTGGTTTTTTTAATGAATTTTGTGAGATGACATTGTTGTGGAGACTTTCATTTGGTATAAATGTGCATAATGATAAAACTTGAAGATTTAACAAGAATAAGATACTGCTCTTATCATATTCGTCATATGAAGGACAAAATCCAGCCTCTTTTCACTCGAAATGTACCAACCTGAACTAAGAAATAAAACCTTACGGCTATCAACCAGAGTTTACTGATGAAATAGACCTACCAAACTCTTTATCATGCACCACCATGAAATATCAAAGTCACCACAATAACAAAGTCCATTATGTTGTTGGTGATCTTTTAGACAAAGTACTTGTTATTCATTTCAATATCATTCCCACTTTCAAATATCCAGCATATTTACTTCCTCAGCTTCAACAGATTATGATTCAAATTAGTGTCTTCACTTTTAATTTTTCCTAAATACAATGACATCATAAGCTATGAAGCATTAAGCCACCTATTTGATACGAGATACTCATTCCTGCTAAGCGCATGAACCATTAGCTAGTAAGAGTATTAAAACATAAGCAAACAGGAAGCCTAAAAATGTACGAATCTGAGACCAAATATCCATTAAAAAGGCCAACAATTAAGCACATTTCAACCA